TTGGAAGTTGATGGGATTATAACTTTTACAAATTCAGTTGTGATGCCTGGAGATAAGAGACTCCCATTAAATATAATTTCTTCTTCATGATTTCTGTGAATGCACACTAATGGGTTTAATCTGCGCCTGCAGATACCTATTCCTTCCCATTCCTCTACTCCTTAGGACAATATCCAAAATCAGAATGGACCATGCAAATGCAATCCTGATTGCTCCATGGTGGCCACGTCAACCATGGTTCGCCATGCTATGCTCCATCACCAGCGACTACATCTGCCTACCCCTTATCTCACACCTTCACACACATCGAGGCAGGACCCACCATCCAGATCCCCACACCCTCCACCTCACGGCATGGAGAATCCTTCCTCAGTAGAGGCTATCCTTGCTCATGCCTGGAAACCTTCTACAATCAAACTCTATTCTCGCAAGTGGTCTGCCTTCATGAAATTTGCTCACCAACACAATCTTTCTACTAATCTTACAAATCTGCAAACTGTCATGCAGTTTCTCTCCTATCTGTTTGACAAGCAACTGACTTTTTTGACTCTCAAAATCTATTTGTCAGACATTATAGCATATCAGCCTCAGAAGCTGCCATGATTTTCAAACATCCCACACTGAAACGCTTCTTATGAGGTGTTGCCAATATGTGTCTGTCAGCGCCTCCTCCTCCTCCACAATGGTTCCTATCTCTTGTTCCCCATTGGCTTTCTCGTCCTCCCTTTGAGCCACTTGCCACCGCTTCAGACTACCTCCTCTCTCTCAAGATGCTCTTCCTTGTCGCCATCATGTCCGCCCAAACTTGAAGCATGGAGAGTTGACTCTCCATTTCTCCAATTTCATCCCGACAAGGTTACTCTTTTTCCAGACATCTCCTTCTTACCAAAGGTTGTATCTCATTTTCACCTCTCCCAACTAATAATTCTGCCTACCTTTTTTCCATCGCCTTCAAATGATTTGGAAAAATCCTTAGACATGTTGGACACCAAAAGGGCTCTGGCCTTTTATATTTCAATGACTTCTTCCTATTGGAAATCCAAAAATCTGTTTATATCACTGCACACACACACCCTTAATAGGGGCTCTTATGTTTCTTCCCAGACGATTTCCCACTGGATCGTCTCTACCATAAAATTGGCATATCTACTTGCCAAACAGCCTCTACCTGAGGGTATTAAGGCTCACTTTCCTAGAGCAATGGCTACTTCCGCAGCATTCCTTCGTGGAGTTCCATTCCCGGACATTTGCAGAGCTGCCACATGGGCAATGCCTTCCATGTTTGCCTCCCACTAGAGACTGGACTTAAGAGCCAAAAAAGATGCTTCATTTGGGAGAGCTGCCCTTTCTTCAATCCTTCCGTGACGTCCCTCCACCTATAAGGTAAGCTTGTTAGTCACCCATTAGCGTGCATTCACAGAGACCACGAAGAAGAAAGAGAGGTTACTTATCTGTAACTCTGGTTCTTCTAGTGGTCATCTGTGAATTCATACTTCCCGCCCATACTCCTCTGTCTGTCACTCCTCTATCTTTTGATGCAGCAGCGGGCTGTTCTTAGGAACTGAGGTGATTGTGAGGGTGGGCAGATCTCGTGGGCTAGTGGGACAGTCCTTGACAAACGTAGCATAAAGCTCTAGATTATTCCGGAGACCTCTGTGCAGGCGCAAATTAAACCCTTTAGTGTGAATTCACATAGTGAAATACATAGTAACTATATCCTTTAATGAAAAAGCTGCAATTACAGTTTTATATAATAAATAATCATCATAATCAACTGTCTTAATGGCCTATGCGAAAAAAATTGGGGAAGTTAGGATCAAAAGAGGAATATTTCAAGGAGATTCTTTGTCACCACTGCTGTTTAACATCCCACTCATCCCCATGTCAGTAATTTTAAATAAAACTGGATTGGGTTATCATATTTCAGAACAAGCAGGAAAAATCAATAATCTGTTATACATGAATTACCTAAAACTATATGCGAAAAGTTCCACCGAGATAAAATCACTGTTAAACAGTGTACATATTTAGTGAAGATATTCAAATGAAATCTGATATACAGTCAAACCTCGACCTACAAGCTTAATCCATTCCGGAAGGGCGTTCGTAGGTCGAAATGTTCGTAGGTCAAAGCACCATTCCCCATAGGAATGCACTGAAAACCAATTAATCCGTTCTGGCTGAAGAAACGGAAGGCACCGAGGCTTTAAGAAGGGGGGAAACCTCCAGCAACAAAACAGTAACACTACCTCCCTTGTTGAGGCTTTAAGAAATGGGGAAACTTCCAAAAACTAACAGTAAACTCAGCTCCCTTGCTGAGGCATTAAGGGGAAAAAAGCCACCAACAAAGCAGCACAGAAACATATCCGCCCCAGGCAAAACCCATCCAGAAGTTTTTTAAAAGGAGAAAACAGACACATACACAGGCTCACTCTAGCTCACTCTAGAAAGCAGGAGCTCTCTTAACTGCGACACACCCTACTGTATAATGGCTGACAGAGCTGCAGCATAAAGAAGCAGCCTTGGCGCCATCTATAGTTAGAAAGTTGAATTGCCTGCCTTTTTTCCCTGCTTGTTTCTGTTCTTATGTCGAAGCTCCATGTGCAAGTCAAAGCAATATTTTTCTATTGGAGCAGTTCGTAAGTCGAAACGTTCGCAAGTAGGGACATTCGTAAGTTGAGGTTTGACTTTATGTACAGCTCTTGTCTATACAATGTGGCAAAAATGTGATGGAATTGAGTTTAAAAACGGCGATATAAAATCATTATCAAGTGATGAAAATTATACAACCTTTACCATTGAGCTATCCAGCCAACTTTTGAAGCAAATATAGTTATTAATATAGTATGACATCTGTATTTCAAGTCATTAATATGGTATGACATCTGCTAGTTCACCTTTTTATGATGTTGAATGGTTTAGCATAATAGTAATAATAATATTTCCTTTCTGTGGCTGTGTGGGCTCTCTGGAACAAGGTGAATGCTACTGGGCATGCTTAGGTCTTCCTCATTGGCCACTTCCTTTGTTTTGGAATGTAAAAGCATATCCCAGGACTGAAGACCCTGATCCTTCTCTTTTTTCCCTAGATCCAGAACAAATGTTGTTAACTTTATAGTTGGTTTTGCCTTGACAGCTCTAGGTAGCTATTTATTATGTTCCATGTTTCTTCTAAAGAACTTGGAATGGAGTATGTTTTACCTGTATAGCTATTCTGTGAAGTAGGCTAGGCTGAGAGACATTAATTGATTTACCATTATCATGTGAATTTCACTGTTTAAATTAGGTCTTGATACAGGTCTGTAATCTAAGCCAGGTTCTGCAAACTCTCTTAATTAAGCAATTTTAGCACCACTAAACTGGAAGAAGTTTCAAGTGAAACAGATTAGATACAAGCCCAAGTGTATTTTAGCTTGCTAAAAGACAAGGACAAGAGCATTTATAAGACAGCTGGTGAGCCCCTTGCTTCCTAGTACAAAAGCTTGCAGATTTCACTTGAGTTACTTCATATACTAATACTGGCTATTTCCAGACTGCAATTGTGTGTTCTATAGTGTGCACCAAATAGTTTGTGAGTCAACAATAAAGAAGGAAGGCAAGAAGAGTTCTCAGGGACGATAGCTCTTTAATTGAGGCAGTTTGCATTTTCAAATTAGCTAAAAGCACATGCAGTCATTTAATGGGTTTAGTATTGAAAAGTGAGTAAACTTTTTTGTTATTAAAAAAATTCTAAAATACCTATTATATTAAACTGACATTTTGCATATCTCCATATTTTAACTGTTTCACAAACCTAGTGTCGAAGCTTTTAACATTAATTTCATTTAACAACTCTCTAAGAAAATTATCTTTTGACTCTTTAAAATTGATTCCTATTTGTGTGTTCCATTTTCTATTAAATTGGTTTCTATTAAGTTGGTTTGTGTAGGTTTTAACTGGGATTATGCTTACATTGTTCTAATACAGTAGTTTCAAACACATTGCAACTCTCCTGACTTTATACACAAGGATATCAGTTGATTTTCATATATACTATCTTATCTCTTTCCATCTTTGAACTTGTTCCCTTCAACTTCAGTGTAATAACAAACAACAACAACAACAATGCATCTATGTGCATGTGGGGAACGTTGGGTGGTGTGCATGTGACCATGCGTATGTGCATGTGTGCGTATACACATTCCTGTTCCTTTGGCCCTCCGCTGTGGCAGTCACTGTAACTAGTTTGGAGACCCCTGTTCTAAAACATTGGTAAGCTGGATTAGTGAAGATGGAGGTGTCATTTCTTTAAGATTTCTTTTCTAAGGCATGTATTGTATGGATGTGTATAAAGAGCTTCATGGTGCAGTGGTTAAACTGCAGTACTGCAGTCAAGCCTCTGCTCACAACCCGAGTTCAATTTCAACAGATTCAGGTAGCTTGCTCAAGGTTGAACCAGCCTTCCAACCTTCTGAGGTTGGTAAAATGAGTACCCAGTTGGGGGTTGGGAGAGCTGTTTGAATAATTATGCTCCAGCACTCTGAGCGGTATACAAGTCAGAACAGCAACAAGAATAATAAGAATACTATGATCATATTCAATCAACTCAACTGTAAGCTCAGGAAAAAGCCTTCTAGCGCATGAAGCCTTTTACATTCTCTCTATGTGTAAATGATGATTATGCTGGGAATAACCTTCCAGGTTAACCATCATTTTCTATGCAATCCAAACTGAGAAACTGGTTACTAATTTTGGAATAAGTCAGACACCTCTGTGACATTTTGAATTCGGTGGTTTCAGTTCCTAGTTCTCTGTTGCAGATGTCAAAGAGAGGCTTAGAAGGGCAAGTGTATTTGAAAAAGGCTTGCTCAAAGCTGAGAAATGATTGTCCAAAATGGGATTGTGAAGGTGGGAAACAATTGAAAATATGGTTGACAGCAGTATGAACTCTCTTTGTATGATTATATGCAAGATTGTACTTCTGGCTAAATTCAGCTCCTTTCCCCCTGTTTCTGAAACAGCTAAAACATGTTAAAGAACACATTGGTGATGATGTTCCAGATGCAGCACTTCTGCTTTGCCTGGGCATTACTTCAGGAATTGGGCGGTTGATCTTTGGCAGAATTGCAGATTATATTCCTGGTGCAAAAAAAGTTTATTTACAGGTATGTTTGTTACGCAATAATCCTGATAAGAAGGCAACCAATATATTACCAGATGACTTAATGTTGTTGACCATTGTTGTCTTGTCACATCTGTATCTTCTGTGGTTGCAAATAAGACCATGCAAATGAGGTCTCTAAGGCCAATCCAAAGTAGATTTTTGAGCCTGTGAAAAACTCCCTGTCATTTTGCTTCTCCACATTATGTTGAATAGGAAGAGTCTTCTTAAGGCGACATGCTGTCATTGTGTATGTTTAGTAGCATCTAGGAAAGCCAGTAACAATAGGAAACATATTTCCTACAGTTCCTGGGATCTCATCAATATTTTTTTCTGGAATCTCTGGATACTACCAAAAACATGCATGGATGTCCTTCAGCATTTGTTGTTTATTCATTGAGCATTTCTAGACTTCACTGGGTTGAATTTGCAAAGTTGCACCCTATATAAATATATAATATATCCAGATACAGGTACAGGTTGACAAGAGTGTCTAAACATGTGTTTTGGACCCATGGAGACAAAGACCAGTTAAAGCCATCTGTAAACCAGTACAATTATGGCATGCTGGAGTCTGCCTTTATGAAAACCCTTATCAGACAGGAAGCCTGTTGAATCCAAGAGAGACTGATGAAACAATAGTTTCTCTTGAAGTTTGGTTCCCACAGAGAGCCTTTAATCAAAATGCAAAGAATGAGATCTTTATGTTGAAAACTCAGCAGGGCCACTTGCAGGAGATGACATCCAAGTAAATCCTTTTGTTCTGTCTATCGTACTCTGAGTAAATATTTCCTTACCTGTGTGATTAGGAAAGGATACATATGGTTGATTCACAGGAGTTTGAAGATAGCAGGAAGAAAAGCTAACTGGATTCCTGTTTGAAGTTTCAGTGTTAGGAAACGAACAACTTTGAGCAGCAGAATATTAAATTACCAGCAGTAGGCCCTATGCCTAACAGAAATATTGAAACCCAATATCCTAATCATATCATAGAATTTGAAGCTAGTAAGTTCATTCAGAACTCATTAAATAGAGTAATAAGTTTTTTAAAAATAATCAGATTATATTACTTTCTTAAAAGGAAACAAATCTTACAAGAAGCAGCACAACAGACAAAATGTTGGCTTTTGATTGGCTTGTTTTAATTCAATAAGGAATCTGGTCATGCTTTTGGATGCAGTTGCAATAAATACACATCCCAGCAGGATAAATTGAGCTAAACACTTCTGTGATGCAATGGTTTTGTGTTTTATTTTGTGTATTTTATTTTATTTTTCTTAAGAGGGAAATATAAGCTTCAGTGCTGGACAGGTGTATTATATTGCTTAAAGATAGTGATTGCCCTCTCACCCAAGTTTATGAAAGCAGAAGAAAGCATGGTCCTTCAGTTAATTGCTTTCCCCCCCGGATGGATATTGTCATGTTTGAATGTTACCATTGTAACATTCAGCTGTTATTGGATTGCAGTCCAACACATCTTGAGGGAATATTTTGCCACTCTAATGCATATTAAAATATTATTTATTATTTCAGTTTAATAGTGCCATAGCATTACTTTGGGTGGTTCACAGTAAAACACATACAGTAATCCAACAATTAATATAGTAAATCCATAAACAATCAAATAAAAACAGAAAATAAAACCTAGATTATTAACTAATGTTGTGGAGGTGTTGCATCTGTAACACATAATAAATAGCATTCAGTAAGTTCCCACAACATGAGAATATTGCTATATAAATAAAGATATGTCATATACTTGCAGTAGAGTTGATGCCTTTAAGAAAATAATTTTTATTTACTGGAATAAAATAAGCATAAACTGTAGATTGTATCCAACTGTGTTCCATAATTCATGGCAAGCTGTGTGCTTCCATAAAGGATTCCTTAATGGGAAGAAGGTGATTTTTTTAAGAAAAAAAAATCTAATATTGCAAACCCTGTGCTACTTCTCTGCTATTCCGATGTGTCTGCAACTATGTGGAGCATATATTGGGGGTATATGCAAGGGGATGCAAAGGGAACAGGAAGTTAGTCAATGAAAATTGCAGTTCCCCCTTTCAATTCAGATTGAAGAGCTCTCTGTTCAGCACAGGGGCACAATTGAATACAACTCCACAATGTATTTGGTCCCCAAATAATCTGAAATGATTGTATAGCGGCATTATTTATTTATTTTATTTTATTTTATTTATATGCCACCCGCACTACCCAAAGGTTTCTCATTAGGTACTCTCGAACTAGTTTTACCATTTTATTATCTTTGCAGTGTGATTTAACACACCTTTTTCTTTCCCAATATATAGGTTATTTCATTTTTCTTCATTGGCTTGATGTCTATGATGATTCCCTTATGTTATACCTTTGGAGGTCTTATTGCTGTCTGCCTCTTTATGGGTCTTTTTGATGGCTGCTTCATTAGCATTATGGCGCCTATTGCTTTTGAGCTTGTTGGGGCACAATATGTCTCTCAGGCAATTGGGTTCCTTTTGGGCTTCATGTCTATACCAATGACAGTCGGTCCACCTATTGCAGGTAAGCAGAATTTATCTTCTGTACTGTTGTATATAGAAAACATGTAAGGCAGTAACTATACTTTTAATTATAAAGCCAGAACCCAACTGGTGTAAATGCAAGAGGATAAATCTCTGTAGTATGATGTTATTGAGCAGCAGAGCAAAGCAACATTCTACAAAGCAATTCTAAATATGGGGGCCACCCAAAAAGAAGTTATAACTTTGAAACTGGACTTCAGATCAGCACCAAATTTAGCACAGTTGTAGTGGACAGTCTGCTCTTGCTCTGTGCCATGTTTTAGAAAGTGTGGGAAAAGGATTTACAACTTATGATTGTTTAAGAAGTAGAACTGTTTTATCCTCATGCAGAAAGAAGCAACATTAAATGTCCTTAGATTTAAAACAGATCATATAAATTGAAAAGACCAGTTTTGCTGTCTTAAAAGAGTATAGTTGGTACCACCTGCTTTTTTTTTAATTTGGAAAGTATCCTGGCTACTGGACGTGAAATATTGATCTTCAAAAAAGGCCTTTCAAAAGGGATAAACTGTTATTTTGTTACACAGGCTTACAAACAAGAGAGTTTCAAAGCAGATACATTGTTACAGTTTTATGCAGGGAAAGCTGTAGAGCAGGGGTCCCCAACTCCTGGTCCGCGGCCCACTGCCAGTCCATGGCCTTTGTAGGACCGGGCCACAGAGACAGATCTCCTACCCCCCGCACGCCTGCATACACGCAGGACCTGCCCACCTGCATGCACCATGCTCACCTGTGAGTGCGCCACGCCCATCCACAAGTGCGCCATGCCCACCTTCACATGTGCACCACATCCACCCACAAGCACACCACGGACCCCACCCCCCAACTGGTCCACAGTTTGGAAACGATTGGGGACTACTGCTATAGGGCAATGAAAGGTGATGGAGACAGAATCAAAAGACAGATTTTCTTTAAAGAGTAAAAAAAACAGTTTTGTTTTAAAGAAAGTAATGGAATGACAGTTCTTCAGAAAGAGACATATTGCTGCAAAGTGAATGTTATCTTCAGGGAATTAGCATATTACTTTGTAAGGCATGTTCACAGTATTTCTGCATTAGAAAAGTACAGAACAGTTGTCATTGTCCCAACCCTGAGTGTCTTTAGAAAACGATTCTGAAATCATGCTCCTGACACAAGTCTTCAAAGGGGAAATCAGTTCCAGGTTTGGGGCAATCTAAACTTCTGACTCTGTCAGTCAGGACCCAATTAGTTAACTCTCAGGGGGAGAATTTTTTGACACCTTCCTGGCAAAACAGGTATTACAGAGGGATTCTGTGTCTGGTTATAAACATATTTTAAAATATATTTTAAAAAGAATAGAGAACAAATTTTCAGAATCTCACTATTTAAGCTGTGATATTATTATTTTTTTGCGTTGTGGCTGGGGATAGTTTCATTTGATATTAGCAAAAACTATATCCAGTCATATTACAAAATTCTACCTGTCTGGTCACTATACTCAATTCCACCTCTCTTGTCACTATATATTATCTTTGCAGTATGATTTAACAGTTAACCTTTTCCTTTCCCAATATATAGGTTATTTCATTTTTCTTCACTGGTCTGATGTCTATGATGATTCCCTTATGCTATACTTTTGGAGGTTTTATTGCTATCTGCCTCTTTATGGGTCTTTTTGATGGCCTTTCTTTAATGTTATCTGCCTGACCAACAAGATCATCCCAGTTAAGGCTCCTCTGGGTGGCCATCCTGAGGGAGGCTCATAAATCCTCTACAAGAGGTAGGGCCTTTGTGGTGGCTCGAACTTTATGGAACCAGCTTCTGGAGGGGCTTGGTCTAGCCCCCTCCCTGCTGATATTTAGGAAGCAATTAAAGATGTTGCTTTTCCAGGAGCCTTTCCACAATGACCCCAGCTGAGCACCTCCACCACCTTTTCCTCTATCCGCTCTGGGTTTATATGATTGCTTGGTGCCATCTGTTGTTTAGGGTTATTGTTGCTGCTTTTAATGTTTACTATTTTCATTTTTGTTTTCTATTACATGTTTTGTCACCCACCCAGAGTTGTGCGTGGGAATGGGATACAAATTGGATGGATGGATAAAATACACAATTACTTCATGATTTAAAAAAAAATCTCCAAAGATTTTATTTATCATCAAGTCACTTCTGATGTGCAATGACTATGAGTTAATGACCTCCAAAACATCCTGTCATTAACAGCTCTGCTCTGACCTTGCAAATCAACACCACGTCACATTAGGTTCTCTCTCCCTACTGTCCCCACTTCTTAGGAATATTGTTTTCCCAGTAAGTTCTGTTCAGGTTTTACAAATGAACAGCTGTGGCTTCCTTTATTGAGACACTCTGTCTTATGTTAGGTCTTCCTGTCTTCCTATTGCCCCGCCCCCACTTCGCCGAGCAATATTACCTTTTCTTATCAGTTCTGTATTTTCATTATATGTGCATGATAAATAGATTCAGATGACTCATTTTTGCTCTAGTGATAGTTCAGGCTTAACTTGATTGAGCATCCACTTTTATGCCTTTCTGACTCTCACTGGGATCTGTAAGGCTCTCCTTCAACACCACATTTCAAATGAGTTAATTTTTGTTCCTGTCTTTCTTCACTCTATCTTTCAGATAGGATGGATAATTCTGACCTTGGGTTCCAGTAACAATCTTTGTTAAATCCCAGCTCTCAGTGTTTTTAAATTTCAAAAAGTGAGGGAAATGTTTTGGAAAACATCCACATGTTTGTAGCAATTTTGGTCTGATGTAACTTTTCTTCCTCAGGTTGTCTATTGTAAGGAAAGGGTTTAGAAACTGAAACATAGCTTCCTAGTCTGCGTTTTGTAGACTGGACATGGTAACATATGTTTAACTGAGAACCTAAAGGCTGTGTATGTTTTTCCATTGTATGTGCTGCAGTTACTCAAATCTTTGGTTCACCATTTCATTAAGTCTAGCAATAGCTTTTCAAAATATTGTGGCACAAAGGAACCACAACCACATCCAAGCTGTTCTTGCTTCTGTCCTCTCCTAGCAACCATAGTTCAGATCATGTGTTCATCATCTGGGATCCTCTAGCACTGAGTAATTCTACATAAGGGAAGTTTCTTTTGGAACTTGTGTGTGTGTATATATATACACACACACAAACACACACACACACACACACACACACACACACACACACACTCCATTTTAACATATATACACTCCATATAAACTCTATTTTAAAAAGCCAGGAAATTCAGTTTTTAAAAAAACCTCTGGTTTATAAATATGGGATATTGTGCTTCTGTACTGACAATTCAAAATGCCAGGAAATGGGCTGATATTGATGCAAAGTATCATGCTCATCTTGCAAGCAGGGAAAAGGATACCCAGCTTTACATAGGAAAGAACTGCCTCAGTGTTAACAATACCAATGGCAGCAGTCAAGATAGACCACAGATATTCTCTTTCACACTTGTCAAAAAACAACCCTGACAATTGATTTGTGTCTGGGTGAATAGTGGTTAACTGATAAAAAAAAGAGTTAGCTTCTGGGATTTTACCCCACTTTGTAACTTTGGTAATCAATTTCTTTGTCTCTTTCTTTCCCTTCCAGGAAAACTGCGTGATCATTTAGGTACTTACAACGTTGCATTCTACCTAGCAGGGATTCCGCCTATTGTTGGAGGAGTTATTTTATGTTTCATCCCATGGGTACATGAAAAGGAAAAAAACAAAGAACAAGCTCAAGCTACTCCTATGGATGGAGGAACTACAGAAAAAATGCTGGAAAACAAAAGCATCTCAGGACTGAACTCATTTGTGAAACATAGCAAAGAAACAGAATTTGTTATTTAATGGTTGATTTTTTTCTACCAGATTGAATGTATTTTTTATAAGAACTAGGGTAGGGTTCCATTTATGAAATGAATGTACCACATGATTGTACTTTGCAAGCAAAGCCACTTTGAAAAACAGCAAAATAGTGGCATATGTGGAAACAAAACGGCTGGCTTTCGCCAGTATTTGGAATGCCTTTCACCAGTATTTGGCTACATTTTCAAACTAAATGTCCACACATCATATGACATTTTGTAATTTATGCTGGTGAGTGGGTATGTAAGGAGAACTTTAAAAGCAATCAATACATGCTTATAATTGCATTTGTAGAACTGAAGAACTGTACCCCTTTTATTAACAGTTGCTTTTACAATACCTTCAGTGGTTTCATTACTTGTCCAGTGGAATACTTCATTTTAAATTTTTGGGAACATCCGAAAGTTTTTAAACTATTACTATTAATCTTTTAGAAGTTCCATGGGGCTTGTCTCTGGAATCACTGCTTCTTAGGTGCTCTTAAAGCCACATCCTATGTCTACTTACACTTGCTTAGATCCATTTATTTTCATGTGTTTTCCGAATGCCTGATACTGCATAGGATTCCCGCCTTACTCTTCACAACAATTGTTCTCCAAAGGACTGAATTGTGAAATACAATACTGATGCCTTTCACATTTGTGTAAATCTTTGGCTGCTCAATTCTGCACTAGGCCCTTTGTTGCATTGTTTCATTTATTACAGTATTTAGAAGGTAGATGGGATTATGGTGATTTTATAATTAATATATTAAATAATTAAACTGAACTATTGTGATAATGAAAAGTTATATATATACACTGTTCTTACATCATCTTTAGTGTCTAAGGATTACAGTCCAAGGATTTCTTTTTTAAATTGGCCTATTAGTATTATTAAAACCATATATTGCATAATTACAGTGATATGAAAACCTTAAGTTAGATTTTTGTATTTTCATTGTTTAGCCTTAAGTGTAGTAAAGTAACATACTTGTTTGATCTATTTCAATTCTGCCATACCTTCTCTTACAGTAGCACAATTATATAAATTAATAGACTTTCTATAAATAGGCAAGATTCTGGTTCTCTCTTGGTGTCTAACAGCAGATAAGAGGAGGGAGGAATGGAAACAAGAAAGACAATGTGATCAACATGGCAACAAATACACTTTACCTATCTCTTCATCTTTCATACCACAGATTGTACCTTGTTGAATATTCTGGACTTCTCCCATATTGGGGCCTTTCCATTCCTTGTTTTTTTTCTTCTCTGGCCTGCCTTTTCATATGAATACAATGTAGCATCCCTGGAATACAAAGAATAGTTGGTTAGTCCTGGAATGAGTTTCACACTCTGGGTTCAGTTTCAGGTGGTTTAATGTTGTAAAGCTACTCTACTGAAATAATGTCCTGATGTTTGCTCTTCAACACTGAGAATACCATACAGCTTGCTCACACTGGGACATTATACAGTCTGTAGAAGACAAAAGAAACAAACTACAACAACTTTATTTAGGAAGGCCCAGACTATTGGATAATGGGTCATTATACTCTCTCCATTAAGATAGACGTCTGAGGTCCCAAGGAGGGTCTGAGAGATATAGGTGTACGCACAGGAAGTTCCATTAGATAAACTGCCTTTATACTGCTTGACAACACATTTTAGAATTTGTTATAAGTAGCAGGTTGCTCTTGATTCTTCATTGATTATGAGATATATATGAGAGGCAAGACAGTTACTGATTGGAGAAGCTAATTTTTATGAACAATATAGATATGGAGGGGAAACACTTCACCTTGAGAATTTGCAAAGCATAGAAAATTTTTATGAAGCATATTGGGCCTGGTGCCTGTTGCTCTTCAGTATTTTTATTAATGACTTGGATGAGGGAGTGCAGGAAATGCATGTCAAATTTGAGATGATACAAAATTGGGTGGAATAGCCAATGCCCTAGAACACTGGTTCTTAACCTTGGGTTACTCAGGAGTTTTGGACTGCAACTCCCAGAAGCCTTCACCACCAACTGTGCTGGCTGGGGTTTCTGGGAGTTGCAGTTCAAAAACATCCGAGTAACAAAGGTTAAGAACCTAGGCCCTAGAAGACAGAAACAATATTCAAAATGACCGTGATTGGATTGAGCCGAAAGCAACAGAATGAAATTCAACAGGGCTAAGTGCAAAGTACTGCACCTCGGCAAAAGAAACCAATTACAGTAGTGCCCCGCATAGCGAGGTTAATCCGTTCCGGATTAACCTTTGCTATGGGAAAACATCGTAAAACGGATCCAAAAAACACATTGGAACTCATTAAACAAAGTTTAATGCGTTCCAAATGGGCCCAAAACTCACCGTTCTCCGATGTTTTCCCTTGTTGCGGCAGCCATCTTTGGTGTACCAGTGGCCATTTTGGGTGTACTGGCGCCCATTTTTTGTGTTCTGGCGGCCATCTTGGGTGTACCGGCACCCATTTTTTGTGTTCCGGCAGCCATTTTGGAACCGCTGAACAGCTGTTCCCCCATCGTAATGCAAGCATGCCCTCGCATTAGCGATAGGGAAATCTGCATCGCAATGCGGATTCATCGTTCAACGGTGCACTCGTTATTCGAGGCACCACTGTACACAGTTATAAGATGGGGGATACCTGGCTCAGCAAAACTACGAGCGAGAAGGATCTTGGAATTGTCATAGATCACAAGCTAAATATGAGCCATCAGTGTGATGTAGCTCCAAAAAAGGCAAATGCTATTTTATTATTATTGTTATTATTATTATTATTATTTATTTGATTTATACCCCGCCTATCTGGACCGATGGCTGCATTAATAGAAGTATAGGTTCCAAATCCCGCAAGGTGCTAATTCTCCTCTATACAGCACTGGTTAGGCCTCACCTTGAGTATTGTGTGCAGTTCTGAACACCACACTTCAAGAAGAATGCTAACAAATGAACAAGTCCAGAGGAGGGCGACAAGGATGATCAGGGGGCTGGAAACCAAGCCTTATGAAGAAAGGCTGAAAGAATTGGCCACGTTTAGCCTTGAGAAAAGAAGACTAAGGGGGGATATGATAGCACTTTTCAAATATTTGAAAGGCTGTCATACAGAAGAGGGGCAAGATCTGTTCTCGATCATCCCAGAGTGCAGGACACACAACACTGGGCTCAGGTGAAAGGAAGCCAGATTTCAGTTGAATATCAGGAAAAACCTCCTAACTGTTAGAGCAGTTTGACAGTGGAACCAGTTACCTCGGGAGCTGGTGAGTGATCCAGCAATGGAGACATTCAAGAAAAACTTAGATAATCATTTGGCAGATATGCTTTGATGGGAACAAAATCCAGGTAAGAATCAAGAGCAACCTTTTACTTCTAATAAGTTCTAAAAGTTGTCAAACAGTAGAAAAGCAGTTTATCTCAGGGTCCAATATGGGAGGAGTCCAGAATATTCAACAAGGTACAATTTGTAGTATTAAAGATGAAGAGATGTGTAAAGGGTATTTGTTGCCAGGATAAGACTAGGACTGAGATTTCTGCTTTTCTGGGCATGGTTCATGCTACAGATGTTGCATGTAATTTCTCTTATAGAGGAAAAAGGTGGCAGTGGGGGAGGGTGCTGAATAACAGGCAACTCTGTCTTCCAGATGGGGACATTCAAATTCATACTAGAAAGGTGGAAACTGAAGCCTACACCTCTAACTATAATCTGTAGTTAACATTTTGAATCTTACTTTTAACAAAATGTGCCATGCACATCTGGCCATGATTTTTGAAATGTTCATGTTTTTTCTGCACTATTCACAGCTCTTGCTGCCCAGTCTGATGAAGACTTTTACAGGGCCAAAATCTAGTTTTTGTTGACTTTTTAGTGATCTAATAAGAATACCACCCATCCTTGTGAGGAGAAAAAGGAGACATGCTGAGTGTAATGAAGCCCATGAATGTAGATTATATCCAGTGAGATTTTTCTCCATCTCCTTCCTATCTCAGGCTATGTTCCTTAACATGTTTGTGTGCATTGTGAACAAAAGAGACGGCATCAGGACACTTGCCTGTGCAGACACAAGTGCTTTAGAAAACAAATATCTAGTAAGTCAAGACACCAGTATTGCTCACCAAGTATTTTAAACAGGTTCTACCAATTATATATTTCTAGCCTTAGAAATTATTTCAATAGACAGTTATTCTATCTGTCTTAACGATGAGTGTTACTCTCATAAATTTGTAAAATTCCTAGATTTGGTTATTGTATAATTTTTTTTTCATTTTACAGTACAAATATTTTAAGTTTTCATTCACATTAAACAATCAAAATTCATGTACATAAGAATGTTAAAATGTAGCCAGAACAAGATAATCAATATAGCTATTGCTGCTTTCTTTTAATGTTAGTTGAGATGCAAACATGTAAAACTATGCCATTTTATATTACAATTATCATTTTTCCTTTCAACAATTAATGAAATTGCACAGGATTTTAAATTCTCAGTGTTAACATCCTGTCCTATTGTTTTTAAGGCACCTATATTACTGATACCTCTGATTCTGCAACAGTTTGAGAGACAAATGTGTGATTTTGAAAAGACTAAAACACGAATTTGTGTTATCAAGTTTTTGAAAATATATTTTTATGCTCAGAAAAATCGTATATATTTAGTTTCATTGTCCAAATATAGCTTTGATAATATATTTTCTGAAAGGTATAAGATGTTAAATCATGCTTTATTTGCAGGCAAAACCTTTTTTTGTGTGCATGCCACAGGAAGCTAAAATGGTGACATATACCATGATTCAATATCACAGAAGTAGTTTCTGCTCATACCATGATATCTGCTTTCCTGGTGTACCCCATGTATTTGAATTTCAGAATTCCATTCTTTTCCTGATAATATATTTATTGACTGTTTTCCCCAATGTATTCTAACCTGTCTGGGAGTTTGTTGGCCAGTTTGTCCTGAGTATGTCCGTCGTTTCATCTCCTGCAGTTTTCATTTGACTCAGGTTTGCTTTCCTGTTTTTCCCCCTTTCTTACT